CATAGGATCTACAAATTTGTCTGTTGAATTTTTTCCTGAACGAAATAGAAAATTTTCATTGACTTTTTCATGAGGTGGTATTCAAGTTTGCAAAAAATTCGCGAAAATTCACACTCCAGACACAACAACAACATTTTTATTCCATATTATATGATACATTTTTAGCATTGCATAATATATTTTCTTCATTCTCTGAAAATTTCATGAAGATTGGTTGAAAAATGCGGGAGTTATTTTTAAAAAGTATGATGAAAAATCTCGTTTTGAGAAAACAGCCGATTTTTACAAAATGAAAGATTGACTTTATGAGAAAATTGTGGTGGAAAACATGCCAGGTATGGGGACAAATAAGGCTTTAAGGAGTCCTAATGCTATTTACTAGTAGTAAGAGACGCTAAAGAAGCTACAAATACCTACTTCTCAAAATCCATAATTTTGAGCCAAATCGGGACTTTTCGGGTGTGGACACCCCCCCCCTCCACTTCCCTTTAGGAGGATATCTCCAGTTACGATTTATTTGGTGTGTTTTCGTTTCCTAACCCTAACCCTAACTCTAACTCTAACCCTTCACAACAGGAAGTGTAAGCGTAACTCTAACCGTAACGCTAACCCTAACACTAACCATAACCCTAACCCTAACCATAGCTCTATTCCTAACCCTAACCCCCAACACTAACAGCAATCCTAACCCTAACCATAACCATAGTCCTGTTCCTAACCTTAACCCTAACACTAACCGTAACCCTAACCCTACCTAACCCTAACCCTTCCTAACTCAAACTGCTACCCCAAACCCCAAACCCTATCCCTTAACCCCTAACCCTAACTCTAACGCTTCCTAACCGTAACCCTAATCCAAACCCTAACCAGTGGGTGGTTGGCGGGTGCTCTGGTGTGGTTTGCTTTTCCTTTCTTATGAAACATATATCGTCCTTATCTCCCGTACTTCTTTTTAAAGTTTGTTACTCTCTTGTAACACCTCTAATCTTCTGGCGCTCATATGACCTTATATACAGTTGCGAGCGCCGTTAAACCTGTACTAAAACTAAAGGCTAAAACCCTAACCCTAACCTTAACCCCTAACCCCTAACCCCTAACCACTAACCCATACCCCTACCCATATCCC